AAAGAGTTTAAAATGCAGATAATAAAACTGAGCCTTCGTTTAGGGTAAGCAGCCCTACATAATACCTATTCTGTTTCTGAATCTCAGCCAGCTGGGACCTCCAACCTTGCGCTCCCTCTTGCTGGCTGGAGGCAGGGTGGACAGGCTTGCGGAGGCTGGCACAGAACACCCAGCAGAGGGGGTCACCACTGGGGAGAGTGTGGTTTCGTTTCCACTTGAAGGCAGAGTCCACTTTTTAAAAAAAATTGTGTTTTAGGTGAAAGCTTACAGTGCAAATTAGTTTTTCATTCAGAAAATTTATACACAAATTGTTTTGTGACATTAGCTGCAATCCCTGCAATGTGTCAGCACTCTCTCCCTTTCTCTTTCAACCCTAGGTTCTCAGTGTCCATTCATCCAGTTTTCCTGTCCCTTCCTGCCTTCTCATCTTTGCTTTTGGGCAGGTGTTGCCCATTTGGTCTCGTAGACTTGACTGAACTAAGCAGCACATTCCTCACACATTGTTTTATAGGCCTGTCTTATTTTTGGCTGAAAAGTGGACTTTTGGAGTGGCTTCAGTTCTGAGTTAGCAAGGTGTCTGGGGGCCACAGTCTTAGAGGTTCCTCCAGTCAATGTCAGACCAGTAAGTCTGGTCTTTTTTTGTAGATTTGAATTTTGTTCTACATTTTTCTCCTGCTCTGTCCAGGACCCTCTATTGTGATCCCTGTCAGCGGTTGGTGGTGGTAGCTGGGCATCATCTAGTTCTGGGCTAAAGCTGGTGGAGGCTGTGGTTCATGCGGTCCATTAATCCTTTGGACTCATATTTTCCTTGTGTCTTTGGTTTTCTTCATTCCTTCGCTCCAAACAGGATGAGACCAATAGATGTATCTTAAATTGCTTCTTTCATTGGAACTATTTTGTTCTGTAAACCTTCATCTAAAGTGAGCATAGCAGCACAAGTGGAAGAACGTAAACAACGTCACTGAACTGTGCATATAGAAATTTTTGAAATGGTGTATCTCTATGTATATTTTCACCAAAAAAAAAAAAAAAAGGTCGAGAAGGGAGAGAGTTGACAAGTCGTGGGGATGTTAACCAATGTCATAAAACAATATGTGTACTGTTTAATGAGAAACTACTTGTTCTGTAAACCTTCACCTAAAGTACAATTAAAAAAAAAGGAAAAAAAATTGTTTCTTATTAACATCCTGCATTCCTATGGCGCATTTGTTACAACTGATGAACCAATACTGATACATTAACTAAAATCCATTCTTTACATTAAGATTTACTCTTTGTATTGTACAGTCCTAGGATAGTGAGACTTGTCTTACTTTGGACAAGTTATCAGGAGGGACCAGTCCCTGGAGAAGGACACCATGCTTGGTAGAAGGTCAGCAAGAGAGCGGAAGACCCTCAGTGAGATGGACTGACACAGTGGGTGTAACAATGGGCTCAAACATAGCAACAATTGTGAACATGGCGAGACCGGGCAATGTTTCATTCTGTTGTACATACGGTTGCTGTGAGTCAGAACCTACTCCTCGGCACCTACCAACATAGGTTTTTATTTACTTTATTGTACTTCAGGTGAAGGTTTGCAGAGCAAACTAGTTTCTCATTAAACAAGACACATATTGTTTTGTGACACTGGTTGCCAATCCCATGACATGTCCACAGTCTCCCCTGCTCAACCTTGAGTTCCCCATTACTAATTTTCCTGTCCCCTCCTGCCTTCTAGTCCTTGCCCCTGGGCTGGTGTGCCCATTTAGTCTCATTTTGTTTTCTGGACCTGTCTAATCTTTGGCTGAAGGGTGAACTTCAGGAGTGACTTCATTACTGAGCTAAAAGGGTGTCCGGGGGCCATGCTCTCAGGGTTTCTCCAGTCCCTGTCAGACCAGTAAGTCTGGTCTTTTTGTTAGAATTTTGTTCTACATTTTTCTCCAGCTCTGTCCAGGACCCTCTATTACGATCCCTGTCAGAGCAGTCGGTGGTGGAAGCAGGCACCATCTAGTTGTGCTGGACTCAGCCTGGTGGAGGCTGTGGTAGTTGTGGTCCATTCGTCCCTTTGGACTGTTTCCCTTGTGTCTTTGGTCATCTTCATTCTCCCTTGCTCCAGACGGGGTGAGACCAGTGAAGTTATCTTAGATGGCTGCTCGCAAGCTTTTAAGACCTCCAACGTTACTCACCAAAGTAAAATGTATAATATTTTCTTCATAAACTAAGTTATGTCAGTTGAGCTAGATGTTCCTCACGGGGGTTTTTCATTGTGGTGAAAATAGACACAGCACAAACATTCACCAATTCAACAATTTCCACATGCACAATTCAGTGACAATGTTAACATTTTTCTTGTTGTGCAACCATTATCACTATTCTTTTCCAAATTATCCCACCACTATTAACGTAAACTCAATGCCCCCTAAGCAAAATTCCTCCTTCCCCCCCCCCACCCCTGGTAACCACTAAAATCTTTGGTTTTATGTATCTGCTTATTTCATATGAGGTCATACAGTATTCATTCTTTTGCAATTGACTTACTTAGCTCAGTATGATGTTTTAAGTTCATTCATGTTGTGGCATGCATCAGTACTTCACTTCTCTTAAGGCTGAGTAATATTCCGTCGCGTGTATAAGCCACATTCTGTTTATCCACTCAGCTGTTGACGGCCATATTGGGTGTTTCCTGCCTTTAGCTATCGGAAAATGTGCTGTAATGAACACTGGTGTACAGGTTTTTGTTAGCATTCCTGCTTTCACTTCTTTTGGGCATATACCTAAGAATGGGACTGCCGGATTATATGGTAATTCTATGTTCAATTTTTTGACAAATTGCCAAACACTTCATAGTGACTGTACTATTCCCACCAGCAATGGAAGAGGGTTCCAGTTTCTCCACAACCTTGCCAGTACCTATCGTTTACTGTTTTTCTTTCAATCACTACCATTCTAATGAAGATGAGGTGGTATTTCATTGCAGTTTTGATTTACATCTCCCTAATGGCTAATGAGAACCCTGGTGGCACAGTGATTAAGAGCTCGGCTGCTAACCAGAAGGTGGCGGTTCGAATCCACCAGCCACTCCTTGGCAACACCATGTGCAGTTCTACTCTGTCCAATAGGGTCGCTATGAGTCGGAATCGACTTGACAACAATGGGTTGGGATGGGTAATGGCTAATGATGTTGAGTATCTTTTCAGGTGCGTATTGGCCACTTGTACATCCTCTTTGGTGAAGTATCTGTTCAAGTTCTTTGCCCATTTTTTTAACTGGGTTATCTTTTTGTTGTTAAGCTGTAGAAAAAACTATATA